AAATATATATATAAAAAGTCATGTATGTGATGTATTTACTTGTCACTTTTTGAAGTCTTGACAAATGCAAGGTTGTAGTAAAGAATAATGATTTAAATGTCATTCGTCTTAAATAACGCTTTATTTATTTATTTGTTTTATTCATGCAAACGAATGGAAAGGATGCTCGGATGGAGTTCTGGAAAAATAATTGGTCAAAGAATAAAATTTCCGATGTCAACACTTTTTACAAACGTGTTAAGTTAAAAAGTCTAGTTGGGGGACAAATCCAAAACAGAGAAATTCAGAAAGTCTTTTTAAAATTAAGAAAAATTAGAGATACATTAAAAAACTTAAATCTATAATAGGCTATTATTTGTTTTTTTAAATAATTATTTTTTGTTGCTTCAACACACAAGACTTGGGAAATTCCCCTAATTGAAAATCACCTTTTGCTGCCCATTTCTCTCTTGTTCTGACCTCTCCAAACTGACTGCCAGGTGCGCTTACGTTGCGCACACATCTCAAACTAATTGAGTTCTGTTTCACTCTCAATGTTAATTCGTTTACACCGAACAGCTCGTTTTTATTTATCCACGAGGACTTTAGTTTAATGGACCGTGGACGGGTGTGCTTAATGACAGGTAAGCTTGGTTAAAGCAAAAGACGGACAACATGTTGAGAGGTGTGCGTAATGATTGCCCTTGTCACCAGTGTCCATAGATTTTACGTAACAAGGACTTAATGGTGCCTCTTAATGTGTACATTTAGAAGCCCACGCGCTCTTTTTACGAGAAAAAGAAATGTTTAATAGGTCAATTCTATCTTACACATAGTATTCGGCTTCAGATAAAAATGCGCTATTCAGAGTAGCCTATATGTAAAAAATAAATATGAACTTTTTAGACCCCCCCAACCACTTCGCACCCTGCTACACTTTTTAAAACGAGATCAATACGTTTTTTTTTACCATTTTCCCAAAGAACATTTTAATAAGGAAGTAAAGACATCTTCCCACTAAATAACATTTTGTGCAATAGAAAGTTTCCATGGACGTTTAATGTTATTCATAGATGCCAAGTTATAGGCTATTTGTGCAGTTACTTTGTTGTCATATTTTGTTTTTGCTTAGAGAATTAAAGCTCAAGGTCTGGATTATTTTGCCTTTGATAAGTGTGAATCGATCCTGCCTCTCTTCTATCGGAAGTTGATAAAGAGAATTTGAGAATTTCTAATGTTTTATCAACATTTTTTATTCTACATTTTGAAGTCCCTTTTTTTATACCCGTTCGGTGTTCATTGAACAGCGGCAGCCTTTTCTGTGGAGATCAGAGATACGGATTCCCCGATTCACCTGTCTTTGCAGTAAATCTAACAACTGCAGGTGTAACACATATAGTCGCAGGCAAACAGAAAGTGTTTGCCAAGGGCATTGATTTGAGCATGGTCAGTTCTGTTCAATTATTGTCAAACCGCGGGGCAGTCGAAAGGAAACACGTACAGAATCTACTGCCAGTTGACAGCTTTGTGTAAACAGTGAAACCAATGGTGCAGCAGGGTCACATGGTCACGGTGGCACACCTATGAGGCCCTCGATCGGCGCCAGACGCTCAGACTGCAGGTAGAGCAGAGGTCCTGATCAGGGGCAGGGCGCTGGCTCGTGTACAGCACGGTTTCCCCGGTCTGTGGCAATCATGAATCGGGAAGAGCACTATTACCCTCCTAACCACCTGTACAAGGACTCTTGCGCCTTCCAGAGACATCCCAACGAAGATTACAGCCAAAACCCTCCACCGTGTCTGTATATGAGTAGACAGACTCAGTCCGTCTACGCCTCACCGTCCTTGGGCAGCCAGGACCAGCCAAATCTTACCGACATTACTTCTTATAACATGTCGACCCGGGATGATCTGACAGGGCCTCATCTTCATCTTCCCCAGACTCCGCAGACATCTCTACAGACGCTCGGCGGTTACGGAGACTCTCTTGACCTGTGCGGGGATCGGAACAGATACCATCTGCCCTTCCCGTGGATGAAGTCAACGAAATCTCATACGCACGCCTGGAAAGGACAGTGGACAGGTAACTCTCGTACTTCGGCCGTTAATTTGTAGGTTTACCAATTAACTTTTGACAAAATTAAAGCAGGCCCTAATGTCAAATTCATGCTTATGATCTCCAAAGTGCTTAAAAGAATCATTGTGCTACAAGATTTCCATTTGGAAGTAGATGATTGAATTTCTAATTACCCCATTTAGTTAAAAATAACTTTGTTTTCGTAGATTCCAAACGCATCCATCGTTGTTCAGAAAAAGAAAAGGATATAGCCGACAGGACCAGGGTTCTGACAATGGGCTGGGTTTCCCAAAGGCATCGTAGTAATGCTGAAACGCGGCCCTGAAAAAGTGTTATTGTCGTAAAAAATCGTTAAAGCAGTCACAATTCAGTAATATACACATCCCATTTTTCTTGAGTGGTCCTTCAGTGAGTGGTCCACACGCAAATTACTTTTTTGTCTTTCTTTTAAAAGACAAAAAAAAAGATAAAATACTTTTTGGTCTTTTATCGCCCATAAGAAGAAAACCGTTAGAAAGGAAGTAAAGAAAGTTCGTTTTTTGTTTCTTTGCTTTTGTCTAGAAATTCTATACTGCATACAATTGATGACTTTTAAGTGCCTGATTATTTTTTACATAATTTCTAGAACAATGTTAATAGTTATATTTACTGTAAAATGTTACGATTATTAATTTTTGTAATATTAAAAAAAATCGTGAAATAAAAGTAAAAAACAATAACGGTATAGAAGTAATTCCTTATATAATATATACATACAATTTGTCATATATACTTATTAAAATAGCCTATAATTGATAGGCTATTATTATTTTGGGATTAAATTAATGACCTGATGAACATAAATAGCCTATTACTTGACCATTGCAAGGTATCCTTTTTATGGAACAGTTTTACAGTGAAAATGAATTTGATCTGGATTTCTTTTACTTTGAAGAAATTTTAAAGACTAATTTTAATTCCCCAATTAGTAGCCTATTTTATTTAGACGTCGGATAAAAACATTTCTAGCGGTGAATGCACGTCAAATTTCACCAGATGCTGAGTGATTAAAGCCTATATTGACGGAAACTAGGCTACAACACAACTTTCATTCGAGACCATACGCTATTTCTTGTCATTGAATCTAACAGCCAAAGGTGCCCTATTGAAATAAAAAGAAACTAGCCTAATTCGAGTTAAATGCATATTATTTTCAGTCTGAAACATCTGGTTTAAATGCATATTATTTTCAGTCTGAAACATCTGGTTTAGGGTAGTCTTCATTTTTACATGAACTATAGGCTACTGAATTCAGTTGGGAGGTTTTGACCTTTGAGTTGACGCCCGTGAGTTTTTTTTATATATATATATAACGCCCTGATCAAACGTTCAGATAACTTTCAAACTGTAATATCCTCAGAGGCAGATGGTGTCTGTGTCGAAAACATGACCTTACTAAAATGTCACTACTGTTATTCTGTTTTAGGACCTTACATGGTGGAGGCCGAGGAGAACAAGCGCACGCGGACGGCGTACACCAGAGCGCAGCTGCTCGAGCTCGAGAAAGAGTTCCTCTTCAACAAGTACATCTCGCGCCCGCGCCGCGTGGAGCTCGCGCTCACCCTCAGCCTCACCGAGAGACACATCAAGATCTGGTTCCAGAACCGACGCATGAAGTGGAAAAAGGAGGAGGACAAGAGGAGAGCCAGAGGAGTGGACCCCGAACAGGATTCCTCCATCACGTCCGGAGATCTGAAGGAGGAGTCATGTGTCGCTCCGGGAACGGGACCCCCCTCACCCCTGCACTCTCACCTACCTCCAGTCCCACAAGACTCGTCAAACAAACACTGACCAAAAGAGACATGTGTCATCAACACAATCTTTCAGCCTGCCATCGACGTGTGGAAATACAAGTGTGCCAGTGACACTGACAAGAGTGCGTCAAATCCTGTAAATCTGTACAGTATAGGCCTACTAAAAGATTGACAGTAGGGGGCGATCTCAGTTGTGTGAGAGGCGAAGCTCCCCTGGAGTCAGTTTCTTGGGAGGTGTTTTTGTGTAATAGAAATTCATGACGTCATCAAATGTTCATGAGCAAAACTTTATTGGACATTGTTATAATTGTATTCGTATTTATAGATAGACAATGAAAAGTCAAATTCAAGTGAATATCTCTCTTATCATGAATTTCTTTCAATAACATTCATAATATTTATGTAGCTACTGCTAAACAAATTAAAAGCATGTGTGCAGTGTGCCGTCATATCATTTGTTTTAATTTGGTGCAAATAAGTAGCCTAAAACAAAGGAACCCATAAAAGACCGAGAAAAAATTTGTAATGCAATAATTTTATATAGCCCTATTGGAATTATTCATTATTAATTAATCAGAGCAAGCTGTTCAAGCATTTTTAGGATCACTATGAGGGTACATTGGCAAAAACATAAGTACTGCCATTTTTCTTATACTTCTCTTTACTATAGATTTACAAAGCATCAAAATTGTTCTTTTATTGCGTGAGAGGCGCCAGAACCCAGCTAACAGGGAACGTTGTCACAATTTGGCTAACGTTCTGGCAAGGTTCTCTCAAAGTTGTGAACAAACATTCTGCCGGTAACGTTAATAGAAAGTTCATTCAAAGTTATCTAGTCTTGAAGAGGCTAGCGTTCTCAAAACGTTAGCACAAACCATTACATCATTCATGGAACGTTTTTCTGAAACATTTTAGTTGGATGTACACGAGGATACTTGCTAGTTTCAGAGGGTTTAGACCAGGGCTGTCCAAACTCGGTCCTGGAGGGCCGGTGTCCTGCAGAGTTTAGCTCCAACCCTAATTAAACACACCTGAAGCTAATCAAGCTCTTACGAGGCATAGAAACTTCCAGTCAGGTGTGTTGAGGCAAGTTGGAGCTAAACTCTGCAGTACACCGGCCCTCCCGGACCGAGTTTGGACAGCCCTGGTTTAGACATTCAAACGTAATTTTCCCATTACTTTTGCTAAATGATCAAATAGAACGTGCCTTTATTTTAATGTTTCCCCTAACGTTCACATAACACAGAAAAACGTTTTTCAAACATTTAAAAACCTGGACGTTTTAAATGTTCAGAAGGCATTCGAAAATAACGTTTGCATAACTTAATGGGTTTACGTTTTTAGAACAAACGGCTACTTCATATGGGTCAATTCGGCATATAGGCCTTCTTATTTTCTATGTGTGGATTAGCCAATTTTTTAAAGAAATAGGCTATACAATCAAGTAGATGCAGTAAAAAAAATTTGTAACGGTAACTTGTTACAGTTTGGTTTGAATGTCAGATAAGACAATATTGCGTAACCTGAGGCTACAGATTTTTTTAACCTCTTCAATCGCGCGCTCTCGTTCCGCTGCGCGGTCATTCTTCAAGCGTTCAGACAGTTGGCCCACAATATCTGCTTTTTTGTTGAGACGGGCACAGATGACAAAAGGGAAGCCAAAGCGCTCCTTGTACTCCGAGTTTAGACGGTACATTTGCAGAACCTCTGCGGAGTCCAGTGTGGTCATACCGGCTCGACTCTGCTCTTCTTGAGACTCGCGTGTTAGTGTCCCGCTCTGGAGGTCCCGGCCCGCCAAATCAGGGTGACACCGCAAAATGCCCGCTTTACCTGAACACATTCAATGTACTTAACCAGTAAATAAATTATTGTGTTTAAAACTTAAGGAAACAAAGCAGAAGAAATCACCCGAGTCTGGTAGACGGATAATGAATTCCGTTATGTGAGCCTCGATGTCTGCTAGATCTTTGAATGGCCGGTGGGACCATATTGCAGCCGAAATGAGGGGGCATTTCTCAACCACATTACCGAATAGTTTCACAAAATCCTCGTATGTTAGAGCATTTACCACGTTTATGTCCATGGCTCCGGCGCGTGTCCTCTGCAAACTATAGGGAAATGGCAAAAGCCAATATTGGACGAGGTCAACGTCCATTGGGGCAACAACTGTTCCCATTTAAATATCAGTAGTTGTCTCAATGTGACGCACTAAGGAGGATGAATATCCTCATTACACAATACAGGTATGATTATTGGGGTTTATATATCCTATTTAAATTTATTCCATGGTCTGTCTTGAATATTGGATTCCGATTGGCTGGCAGGTATGCAGTAAAACCATTTAATGCACAGGTAGTTCCATATTACTGTTCCATATTAATGCGCTGCTTTAATTGATGCACACATATGGAGCGAATTTTGCGACAACATTAATCAAACAAATCCAGCGTTTTGCAAATAAACACAATTTGCTTTGCAAATAAAAACTCGACTTTCAGACAAACGCAAAGTGATTTGCAAATACAGAACTCAATTTGAGAGAAAATGTAGAGGTATGGACAGATATATGTATTGTGTGTTACAACTGTGAGACTCATTTGCCTTTTTATGAGGAAACTTGGCTTGATTTTCTCACAAATGCGTGCTGGCAGATTTTCTCACAAATGCAATTGAGCGACTTTCTTTTCCAAAAACAGCAGATGGCGCTGTCGGTCAATTTAAGAGAAAATGGGTATGGACAGATATATGTATTGTGTGTTACAACTGTGAGACTCATTTGCCTTTTTATGAGGAAACTTGGCTTGATTTTCTCACAAATGCGTGCTGGCAGATTTTCTCACAAATGCAATTGAGCGACTTTCTTTTCCAAAAACAGCAGATGGCGCTGTCGGTCAATTTAGGCTACGCTAGTCTTCGGAGACCAACCTTTTCAGACAAATATGAGTGTGGAACAGGTGAGTTTCTGTCTTACTATATCTATAATTAACCATATAGATGTTTTAACAAAGCGACCCTACTACAATGTCAGTGAAATTCACAATAAGTGCTGTAAAGTTGAGGGGTATAACAATATATCGTGTCACAATATATTGAAATACTATAAAATGCAAATGTATTGTGGATAGCGTCACCTGTGTACCAAAAATGAAAGCGTTTTGAATTGTATTTTTACGTTAGGTCAAGTAAGATTTATTGTCATTCTGCTATATATGTTGAGACATAGCCTACATTGGAGAGAAATCTCTGCAGTAAAAGTTTAAACAAGTATAAAACTACACATAGACAACCTACTGAAAGGAGTAGGCTAATCTAATTATACAAATAGGCTAAATCAAACTAGTTTAAGTTCAGGTGAGCTTAATTGTGATTCAGCTATATAAATGTACTAAAATATTATCTAAACATTAATATCCCTCACGGAAAATTAACCATGGTTTTACTAAATAAATACCATGGTATTTGTAGTACCGCTGCCATTATAGGAATGGTCACCTGCAAAAAAAAACATTGTTACCACACTTTTACTATAGTAAAAGCAACTTTAATTTTCGTAAGGGATATCATAGTTTATTATCATATTTATGTTTATATATAGCATAGTTTATATACACGCCTTGTACAACATTTAAAACTAAAAGTGGCCTGTAAGGAGATATTTCATATTTCAACCAATATACCGGCAGATTTTAGTCTGACAATAGCCTGTTTGGAAAAATCCAATTAAAAATATGTAGCTTTTTATATATGGCCGAGCAACATTTTAACTCATGAAGTTAAGAATAAAAGGCTACTGTCAGGAATTATATTAGTGGCTCTTCAAAACGCAAACATTCGTCATCTGAGTCACTCCGAGAAGAGTCCTCACTGTCCAAAGTGTGTCTTCACCCATGTAGCGCTCCATCATCCAACACACAGAAAAAGAAAGTAGGCTAAATTCTATGATGAAGCTTGACGTTTTGATGCCATTTTTCGGGGGCATCTATATGTTTACCTGGCTGACCTCAGCTCATTAACATCTGAACAGAGGGCTCAGTGTGAGGCGGGATCACATTAGCGATAATGAGGTGAGACAGGAGAAACTTTACCTCTCCTTACTTTCATACGGATTATATAATCAAAGAATATTTGTTTTCAATTTGAATTGGTTTTAAAAGTAGACATTTCAAGCTTTCTATACATATATGTATCATGTATGTGAGGCACATATTCACTGAGATTCAGGTTGTTTTATTCATGTGCCTGTGAAGAAAGTTCCTGGAGACCGAGACGGCAGAGAGCGCACCCTGTTTGTTTTCTTTATTTTACAAAAGCACATTGTTTTGTTGTTATTATGACTATACACAAATGTAAGTAGACCCTTTGCAGTTTCAAATGATGCCATACTCGTATCTGTATTTTTTATTATTTTCGTGGTCATCAAGAAAACGTGACAAAACACGCCGGCGCGGTCTTCGACTCCAAAGATTATTTTCTAATCATTACATTGTTAAACTCATTCTGAAATACTAGTAAGCCACTGTTTGTTAATATCATTCTGAAATACTGGTAAACCACTGTTTATTAAAATGCTGAATTTAGTATTATATCAGCGTGAACTTGATCCTTCTCCCCAATTCACAGGACAAGAGTGACACCAGAAGAGAAATATTAATAATTTTGCTTAGCTAAAAAATACATAATTATTTTAGACACAAATGATTGCACAGTGTTACAACATTTAAAAAGTTTTAGATATTATACTAAATAATGTGATTTGTTTAAATTTTTTTTATTAATAATTAATGACCTCTTGGGTGATATTACTATATCTGATAGCCTACTAAATTAAATTGTCTAAGCTTTTATTTTTGGCACACAATATTGTCGCTATCCATAATACATTTGCATTTTAGTATTACAATATATTGTGACACGATATATTGTTATACCCCTACATTGTTTTGAATGTTGAACAATTGTATCAACATATGTATATATTCTATATCCCGCGTAAATTAAATGTTTAGCCATGTCACTACTGATTTTTGAACTAATCATGTTAACAACTTTGTGAATCTGACCGACACTGTAGTAGGGTCGCTTTGTGAAAACATCTAAATGGTTAATTATAGATATTGTAAGACAGAAACTCACCTGTTCCCCACTCCTGTTGGTCTGCTGTATTCCCTGAAAAGGTAAACAGGTGTTTCGGGTCTCAGGAGACTAGCGTAAATTGGCCGAGAGAGCGCCATATGCTGTTTTTGGAAAAGAAGGTTACTCAATTGCATTTGTGAGAAAATCTGCCTGCACACATTTGTGAGAAAATCAAGCCAAGTTTCCTCATGAAAAGGCAAATGAGTCTCACAATTGTAACACACAATACATATATTTGTCCATACCTGTGCATTTTCTCTCAAATAGGGTTTTGTATTTGCAAATCACTTTGCGTTTGCTTTAAAGTCGAGTTTTTCTTTGCAAAGCAGATTGTGTTTATTTACAAAACGCTGGATTTGTCTGAATATTGGCACAAAATTCGCTCCATAGATAACGTCAACATAGCGGATGATGTCCGGATCGCATTCATACTCAACGAGATTTGGTTGTAGAGTATATACTCTTTTAGCGCTCGTTAAGTAAGTACTTATTGAAACTAAGTACCTAATTTACTCATTGAGTATGCGATTTCGAACGCAGCCACCGTAAATATTGAGGCCATGTTATAATAGGTCTGATAACAGTTAAAATGGGTTGTACAACAGCGTTTAGGACAAAGACGACCCATGAGTAAGAGGTTTTCCTGGTCTTATGTTTAATATTCTGTTCTGCGCACATCTGAAATGTTACTACACCCCAGGTGTCATCATGCACCGTGGCGCCACCCTCTGTGTGTCTATGATAGAAACACCTTCAGTCAACACATAGGCCTATTCCAAACCACAAAATCATAAGACACAAAATGCACAATTTATATTGTGATTTATTCGCTTTTTTTTTGCATCTTAAACCTTACATACAACTATTTTTCAATATTTTCATAAACATTTTACAGTTTGTTAACTCATTTTCAATGATCATGCCCTTTAATTATTGTTTTAGTGGACTGAAAAAGTTAGGAATGCTTAACCTAAACAGTAAGGGTGTTTGGACTTTGCTGAGTTTGAGTTGTTGACTTAAAAAGACACACTGAAATGTAAGCTATGGACTATATTGTTTATAGAAAATCTGCACAAATGTGCAAATTAAATTTCTGTTAAGCATAACTAAGCTCACTGTAGACAATTCTTATTACATGATAAATAATATTTCAAGAATAATGATTAAACCATAAACGTCTAAGATATTTGAATAAATATAATGAAAAATTAAGAAAGTTTTTTTTGTTATAAAAATAGAGCAATTTCATCTGCAAAATGCAGCAAAAAATAAAATAATTCATAATCTGTTGTACTTCTCAAACACAGCATCTCTTTTAAGCCTTCATTATGGAGTACAGAAGCAGGTTATTCAGCTGTTACAGTGTACAATATCTAGAATTCTAATTAAAATTGGGAAGGTTTGTTATTTATTTATATATATATAAATTCCTAAAGAAGCTTCCTGCACAAAACAACATTCAAATACTGTATGTTATTAATTACAGTGTAAACACTCATGGAAAATGTGAAAATTTGTTAATAGGCCTTAATCAAAAAACATTAAACACATTATTGGTGGTACAATATGCACATTAATTATTCATTCCAATTCCTTCCACGTTTTCTCTTAGAAATTAAAAATGCTATGTGTAAGTGGCTATTAATGGAAGCACAAGTTATGCATTATATTTTCCTAATGCAAGGCTTTAACTCCTATGTTTAAACGAGAGGTTCTGTTCTTACAGATCCAGGATTGTCCACAGCTTTGCTTTCATCTGAATTCTCAGTGTCGGACTGGCAAACATCCATTTTCTCCATCAATGTAGCATCAGGGGTCACGGGCGCATTCTGATATGTTATGTCATTGTGGCAGTATCCTCCAACATTGTAATATAGCTGTAAACAGATATCACAGTGAGTGTGCATCCACCAACAATTTAACCCATTTTTAAAAACATATTTCACATAAAAGTCACCCTCTCTTCCAAAGCAGCCAGCTCTTTTTCCATGAAAGCCACAAGCTTGGAGAAACAAGGCCGGTCGACAGGATCA